CACACACACACACACACACACACACACACACACACACACACACACACACTATAAAGAAGTTTGTACTGCATAAACGACTTGGTCCATCTGAGTCCTATGTACCGTGTCACACAAGTGAGAGCACGGTCGTGTGTGTATTTGCGACACTTCGTCCCCGTGCTCGCTCATGCACACTGATGCTTGGGTCACGAGTCGGGTGGCATCGGGTGCGGTGTTTCGCCATTAACAAACCTCCGCGTTCTGTCATCATAGTGATGACAATTTACAACTGATTTGAGCAGCTCGAATTCTTCGTCATTCTTTGTTACTGTACTACAACTACATGAACATTTTTAATTCACAATATGCCTTGCCTTTACCGACATCAACCCGTATGCATATACAGCTGTTGACCAAACTCGTACAACATCATTCTCATTTTGGAAATACATTTCAGTTTGCAATATCGTACCTATATATTAGTGACTGTGGGTAAGGTGTATTTATTCATTACTTCATATCCCATCTCTGTGTTCTTAGTTCTCTTCTATCACCGTTTGAATTTGCTTGACCTTGAATGTGGCGATAAAATTTATAGTAGGTCGAAAGATTTGAAAAGTATTTTATGCGAAACTTCATGGAAATTCATTCTTCCTCGTGAATGGTTCCCGTTTCGTTAGAGTGATTATTAAGCTGAATACACATTCTAAGCCAATTAATGAAAATATTCTATTCTAAATAAGTTGATAAATTATTTGGCTACCAATCACTCACGCATTATCCCAATACTGACGGAGTCAAAAATATAGTCCAGGAAACATGCAAGTTGACTTTCGAACGTTGATCTGGAGGTGTGCGGCTCATTGAATAAACGTCTTGGCCAAACAGGCCGAAACATCCAAAAGATTTTGAAGCCGAGAGGCATAGATCCGATGACAGTTCTTGACTAGCGCAAGTGCTTGGATGTGAACCTAAGCCTAATTTGTTGCACAATTAACGGAATTTCTCTATCAAGACATAAACCAAGAGGGATAAAAGCGATCATGTCGAAGCAAAACGATGGCGGCATTTCATTGCAGCGGAGAAAAGATGCACACAACCAATATGCAGAACAGTCCGGGCGGATTAGCTGTTTTTCCTCCCACTATCGTTTGGAAAATGATGGCTCAATTTGAAATGCATCTGAGGTCACCTGATGTGAAGCCATTATTGAACGCCCAACAAAGCATTGATTTTACCAACAAATTCAAATCGCATCCCTCGTCCATTTGAAAATTGGTTTATCACACTGGTAACCAACGAGCAATTCAGCAGGTGGAGAAATCTGAAATAAATATCCCTCCCGTCTAACGCGTTGGAAGGGTAGTGAATACTGAGCGCCCTGTTATTAGCCTCCTGCGCACCAATCTGGATTTTGCAAAATTTATTGCACTGCCACTCTCAAAATGCATTGGGGGAAGTCGTTTTTCACAGATGAAGTTTACTGTATCTTTTTTTAACACATCGTGACCAAATGATGTTAGGAGTGAATCGAAAAATCGATGCGCCATGTGTTGCTTTATTGCGAATGTTATAGTGTTAATAACACAGCGATGTCGGTAGAGAATTATATTCTGTATCTTCTCACTTGAGGTTGGTAGTAGAAAACGGTTAGACCTCTGTAAATATTATACTTTCAAATTTATGCAGTTTCTGGATGGGTCAAGACCATTGTTGAATTCATTCAGTTACCACCTATCAGTTGAGATATGAATGTTTTCGAAAACTTCTCCCTGTTTTAGAAACAAGGAGAAGTTAGATGCCTCGTGGTTAGGGTGCGGCATGTATTAGAGGAAACTAACAAATTCTGTTGCATAATCAAATAGGTGGACTCCGTGCAAAGTGACTGCCTCCAGTGCTCGAAAATGCAGAAGGGCAAATAGAAGATCGCGAGATGAAAGTACAATACCTGTATAAGGTCTATGAGTCATTTTGACAAATAAATCCTGCTGTTTTTTTACTATGGCTTTGTTATTTTACAACTGATGCACCAGCATTCATCGTCAAAATCAATGAATCGTACATTTTATTGGCATTCAACTAACAGGCAAAGCCATGGGTGGATATTATTACGAATATGTTGAGCCTGATGTGGGGCAATATCAAATTCAATCGCGTGAATGAGGCTGGAAAAACTAAGTGTTGGAATGGCACAAATATGATGAAAGTCAGAGTGTTGCACGAGTTTGGTCAATGCCTGTTTTCTAACAGCTTCGATACACTCTCCTAGAGTGAATTTGATAAAATATTTTTCAACCCCTAAGGTACACAACAATTTTTTAACCATTGCTGGGTTTTACCACACCATCAGATACCGACCGGTTGGTTTGTCCAATCACGAATGGCATGGTTTGGGGACCGACACAAATTCAGCTGACGGATGTAATGCAACAGTTTCTCCCGGACGGTGTTTATGTGCGTCGCTTCGAATTCGATCTGACTGCCAATCACCTGCAAACAATCGTTGGTCGAACCGATCTGGACATTGTTGTTTGCAGTCACCTTGTATCCGAACCGCTTCAAGTATGTCACTGGCCATCAGATGCTGTGCAAATCCGATTCAATGAATACCTGCTTCGATTGGATCGTAGCTCCGTTCATGGTGGCCAGTCGGCTCACAAAGTCGCATGCGTAAAGCAGCTTTGTCGTCCCGGACGAAACCAATTAGAAATCGCCATAGTCGGATTGGGCGAGGATCCAAATCAACCAAGTACTATGTCGAAGCGCCGTGCCGCTTCATCAACACTTGAGGTACGTCTCTCATGGATGGGCAGAGTTTTCTTTCTTTTGTTGTAGTGTAAAATTTCATCGTCCTGATTGATTCTTGCTGTGGTTATTGTGGTTAGCTTATAAATCCCGTTATTTGTTATTGTTCAACACATCTAAGTGTTAAACTGAAGACTGAGCAAAATAAATCAAACAGCAGATTGCATACCGCGGTTTTTCTTATACACGGTCCTGCTTTCGCACAATGTGCTGTGAAGGTTGATTTGCAGCATTTAGCTTTTATCATTTACACAGTTTTCATCTCGGCACACACCCGTTTTACCTGTTGTTCTCTTGCATCGTCATCATCCTCACCATTTTAGCAAGTTCTCATAGTACAAACAATTGCAGTTGATCGTCACCCAATATGAGCAGTCTTCCTCACTGATTTTGTCCAAATCGGTTCCCCATTCGCTGTTGATCCACACTGCTCCTATACCAGTAAATATATATATATATATATATATATATATGTGTGTGTGTGTGTGTGTGTGTGTGTGTGTAGTTTTCATCTCAACACCACCGTTTTACATATTGTTATGTACAAGTCACCTGACGAGGCTGTGCTTGAGTTGTAGCGTTCTCTTTCAAGTACATATCGCCAACCATCTCAAACTGATACTCCTTATACATTTGTATGGTTGTTAATTGAAGAAAAAAAGCTTGCCTCCCTTTTGATAATGAGCGGTTACTTTATCGGGTCCTAATAAACCTAGCGGTACCCACAATATTTTATCCGGGTTTCTCTCGGTTTTAAGACTGTGGCTTCCACCGCAGATTCGCGAGAGGGTTGAATTTTGGTACATGCACCTGCCTCGTTGAGCATCTTTAAGCTTCTGATTCCGAATTCGATGTTTACTTGGCACCCTGTGTAAACTATTTTAACCACTGACATACAGTTGATGTTGGCGGTCCAATTAAGGTTACTTACATCGACACAAACGCTGTGCATGGAATATTCTTCCGGGTACATAAATACACAACTTCACCTGGTTATTACATGTTGATCCCTTTTCTTTGCAACCAGTTGCACCTCGAAACTAGAATTTATCGAAGTAATGTTTCGTTCCAAATTCTGATTTGTATGCTTTGAAAATAGAAATCATATATGTAGAGGAAATCTCTGGTAGAAGCTCATTTTCATCAGAGTATTTGTTCACCCATATCATATGATGGCTTTACACCATTTAATAAGGTACTTTTGGTGGAGTGATTTGTCCAAGTCCAGTTCGCTTGAGGCAGGTGATGGATGGATAAGTAACTGAATACGTTTTTCCTGAGTGGAATCCATTTACTCAGACGAATTGGGACATTCTGTCTCCATATCTTTCTCTGCCTTTATTAGTGATCCTTCTGTCCCACCCCCTGCGCACATCCAAAAATATGCTGATGACGTCGTTTTGTCTCAGACAGTTTCATCTCCCTCGGACTTTCATTTCTTACTGAAAATCTATCCCACATCCAACAGTTTTCTGACCAATCTGGTCTCAATCTTAACATATCTAAGTGTATAAAGTCTTTCCCACTCCTCATTTCCAACGGACTCTGCTACCCTTAACGATAAATCTGTATCTAGAATGACGTAAGTGAAGTTCTTGGGTGTCATTATCGACAGCAATTTTCGTTGGTCTGCACATATTTACAACTGTGTGGGAGGACTGAGATGCCTATCTTTTCAGTTACGCAAAATGAGGCAATTCCGAACCCCACAACCAGTCCTGTCATCTTTCGTTCATCAATGCGTTTTACCCATTCTACTTTATTGCTCCCCTGTAGTGTTTACCGGTCTTTCAAAACACGACTTCAAAACAATTCACCGTGGTTTGGTGATAATCAGTAGTGCATCACTAATCCCAATTGATTTATTAATCACAAAACTCATTGATGGTCACATCAACTCTTCTTTTAAATTTGCTCACACGATTCTAGATGACCCTCTTCACCCGCTACACCCTGATCGTTCGTCTTGTCGTTCCCATCCGTTCACACGCTCCTCATTTCGACAGCTACCTTCTCGTATTAACATAAAAAATTCCCCTGTACCCTACCTGGCCCGACTATTGACCAAAAAGCAACAGGTATCAAATGAACTACTTCAAATGTTTTGTACATGAAATGTATATCACCGACATTCTTTACCTTTCGTTTTTATTATTTTTATTTCATTCTGCGTGATGAACAATGTACATTTTTACTGAAATGTAAGCATATATGCTTACACAAGTTACACAAATACAAAATACAATACCTACTTGTTTCGTCGGCATGTTCACTTTTGATTGATTAGATTTTTTCTTCCGTTGATGTCTTGAAAGACAGTGCCGCGCCTTTTGGGGGCGTCGTGATTTTCCCTCCTTGATCTGTCTGGCTGTCTCGAACAGCTTTTCTAACGATCTACTCAATCTTGTTTCGAGGACAATTCGAAGTCACTGCTTCTCCTGCACGAAAGATGGTCGAAGTCTGTGATCTGGCGTCAAGATACGGGGAGTTCAACCACAGGGCCAGTTTAAACAGACCACCTTGGGCATTTGTTTGGGGTTCGTTTAGTGTCATCATTTATAGCAATAAGGTTTATTAAATGAACGTCAAAAACAATGGTTCGTTGTTATTCTGACTCATCATGATTTCTTATTCAGTTCGTTATAATCTTAACAATCCAAGAAAATAACATGGGTGGTATGGTTAATCAGTTGGGGTCGATTCACGATAATAAAGGAGGGGAAACGGTCAAGTTTCCTTCGAGTTACCTTCTTTGGGCGCAAGCAGGTTACGTCACCAGTGACAATGAATTCAAGTCATCGCTTGGCCTATGCGTGATATGGTTCACTTTCGGTCAAGGAAGTTTGAGTTCATGAACCAATAGTTTAGTACTCGAAAAGGTTCAGACATTGCGTTGCGGGACCCGGCAAAGGACGACGACTGCCGATTTAGTGTTGACCGGGTGCCCAATCCCTGGAAAGCAGACAACAAACTTCAGATGACTATGATCCTATGTCTAAACCACAGTAGATGGTTTTCATTGTAATTGGCAGACTGTGTTCGTTGTAGCCTGTGTTTCATTTACAGAATATCCTTCCCAACACGCCTCGACGTTTTGATCTTGAGCGTCCTTATTGAATACAGAACTCATTATTTGATGGTCAGGATATTTATAGAGGTCATATCTTTGGTACTGTTTGTTTTTCCTTGGGTTTTATGAATTCAACGTTCAGTTTCAAGTTTCAGTCTCATTTTTGGCAAACATTAACCCTGCTCCATTGTGCGACAGTCTTAGCTGCTATCTTTCGGCTGTCCGTTTAGTCGACCGATGAAATTATTTTTTCCAACCCCATTTGCATGTTCCCCAAACAGATGCACCGTTTCGCTGCATTCATGGCTCACATGCCGGCATTGAATGTGCTACTGGATGGACTACAGCGTCGTCGGCCAGCGGGTGTAAGTGCGCTGTGTGACATACTCGAAGGTCGTGTCGCTGGAGCGGTAGGATCACGTCCGCCGGCAAACTCTCCAGTTGTCGCTGAACTGAGTCTGATCTGTCCGGTCTTTCGTACACGAATGCGAGTTCCCGGTCGTATCACTGGCTGCGAACACATTGAGGCTTTCGATATGGAAGCGTTCCTTCGACGTGAAGTCCTCTGGCCTCGGCTCAATTGTCCCATATGCGGGTAAGCTTTGTGATACTGCAATAACACAGAGCGTTTGTTTGTTCCTGTTGTGCTCTCGGCATCATGTTTGTTTTTGTTCTGGTTGAACGATTCTCAGACAGGTTGTGAAAATAGACGAGTCTTAATTAATACAGGAGCAGTATGATTGAATTTTTCGCCCGTTTCACCATCTGTAAACTTTGCGCTACATTTGGCATGTTTGCATTTAGGTTGTACTTCTGTTTGCTCACGTCGAAATCGTTTATTTTGCTCCGAAAAATCATTGGTCGAGCGTGTGAAACCGGATCGAAAACTCTCTTATGCAATCAATCCGTTTGATTGTTTCCAGTCGTGAAATTTCCGTTACTCTGTTAGAGGAAAAACTAACCCTATTGCTTTTCGACCGATCACAGATGTTGAGGGACATTGATTTTTATATGCGGTGTGACAGCCTAATAATGCATCAATTATGTGCTGTATCCGGGTGTACTATTGTGCGTATAAATGATGAGCCTAAAGTTCGTGCTCCTCTTCATTATCTATTGAATTTCACTGCTAATGTCTTCCTTGTGCTCAGTAGTCTCCTCGTTTGTTTCTTTAAAATTCCTGCTAGTCACGTGGTGTTATGTCGAAAACGAAACCGCAACCATGTTCCATAAGATTGTGTTTGTAAGGCGAACAAGTTAGTTTAACGAACGAAGATCAATGTGCTAATGCGGTATTGATCGGTAGTCGTGAATGGGAACTGATGCCTACGTCCACGTTGGTAGGATTTGAGCTTGATAGAAGTGCACACACGAACGCGACATATCATTCTGGAACATATTTTATCCCGGTTGGAGAATTTTTTGTTTCTGTTTTTTGTGTTCGTGTGTACATAGGCTTTGTAGTAGTTTGGAAGTTGGCGCTCATATAACCTATCGTTTATCAGTTTATTCTGACAGTGTTACTGACGTTTTACTCCAGAGCCTATTCGCCCACTCAGAAAGTCACTATTTCTGTGATGTTGCTTCTCTCACCTTGAAATGCATTTCCGTGTACAGGTGTTCCACTGTGAAGTAAACTGCGCTTGCTACTGCGGGTGTCAATTTTTTCGCTAGCTTGTTTCCAGATAGACTATTTAATCTGTGATCCCGTAGTAATACTTATAAATACACCACGAGAACCTGATTCTTTATCTGAGTATTTTGTCACCCTATTCGCTGACCTATGATTCTACTTTTTTCTCCACTCCTTTCATTTTAATGCCGCTATTCATACCGATTCGTGTTTTTATTTGAACTACGCAAATGGACGTTGCCGAATTTGCTGAAGTTATGGAGTGTGTTGCTCATCGAATACCGTTTCTACTCTCATTTTGTTTTGTACTGTATTAGTTTCAGTTTCACCATGTAAAATTTGGTTTTGTTTTGTCACTGCTGCAAAGAACTCCCACAAAAACCTTTTCCTTGGGCGATATCTGACCAATAATACCACTTTTGGCCTCTATTTTACTCCGTTTTATTACCAGACACAAGAGCCCCGCTGGCCTAGATGGATTGTGCATCGACACGACCATTTTGAATGCCCTCCATCTTGTACATCCGTCGATCGACAACATTTTGGTACGCTCAGATGGTTATTGGCGATTACCACCGCCAATTTGTCTGGATTTACCACCTGATGTTGATCAGTGGCAACCACTCATAGGACCACTGACCGAGGTTGCAACTCAGGCATTTCAATCCTTGTTGCGGGGATCAATTCTGCGAGGACCGATATCAGTTATTCATTCGCAAATGTCGCATCCGTCGCAGCAGCAGCAGCAACAACAACACGTTTTGAGTTCCGATAACATTAACTCAACTGACGGATCAAGCAGAAACCAGATGGGTCCCCAAAAGTCAACGTCGTTGACACGAACGACCAGAACAAACAGTACAGCTTCGTCTTCCGGTGCACAGACTCCTTCTCTCACTCCGGGCAAAGAAATAATCGGTTCACCTCAATGGTCTTCGTCCGGTCATACATCTGGATCGCAGCCCAATCAGGCATTCTTTTTCTCATCCGCAACAGCCCCTTCCGGGACATTAGATAAGACCGTTGGATCGAATGCGGACTCAAGCATGGGGGATTCCTCAGCCAGTTCAAGATCACAGAACAATTCGCGACCAGCCTCACAACCAAGTGCGTCCATCATCAATTTTAAAAAGGGCTTTCATGTAGACTATGCACATTTTCATGCTGGTGTTTAGACTTTAGTGATTGTGAAATTCTTATTCTTCTGTCAGTGTGATATTCTAATTGCCCTTATTCAGATGCACATTGTTCCTTAACATTCAGTTTATCTCTTTCTATCTCTACTGTTTCGTCTGAGTTGGAATATTAGCACGTCCTTATGAAAGAATGAAAGGTGTCACTGAACTTCCTCTGAGTTACAGACAGTTATCGGTTGACCCCGGGTCATGCAATCGCTGAGTAAAAAAGCAAACGTGACCCCGGATACTTCAGTTAGTTCAAGGACCAAATCACTTGTTGTGATTAATGTTAGCATATGATAGGTCGATCCTGTTTCAAACTTATTTTCAGGAATATAGTGCTGGAAAAATCTCCCCGTTAGTCATCCACGAGACTGATTTTGGTCCCGGATTTCGGTGTCATTTTGTCCGTCGAGAACGGAGTCTTCTCTGTTCTGTTCATGAATTGTCCAACAATGTTACATCGCGTTCATGCTACGGCGTTCCCGGGAAGCTACGCGCCCTGCGCTCTTCTAGTGGCTGCGGTGACAAATGAGTATGCTGTTGACCTAAACCACCTGTACACCAGATCCAGTATCCACGTAACTTGCTGGAATGTTAGAACATTGCTACACATAGGTAGCCAGTGCCTCACAGTACGTTCACTGCATGACTAAAAAGTAGACATCTGTTGTCTGTCCGATGTCCAGCTGCCTAACTGTGGCACAAAACCTACCTCCAACTGACAACTTCGGTTCGCACGGAGTGGCTATCGCCGTGAGCGGGCGGGCCAACAATGCCATGATTTCCTGGGTTGCCGTGTAAGCTGATTTTCATCGCTGTCTATGCTCCAACGTTACATGCGGAAGCGCCCATCGAAGACGACTTCTATGATCAAATTCAAGACAGTGAACCGTGGTCCGAGACGCGACATTCTCGCTATCGCAGGAGACTCGAATGCATGCACTGGCCCATCAAACGAGCATACTCAGCATGTTCTGTGAAAGTTCGGTCTTGGTCAACGTTTCGAAAATTGCGAACGCCTGGTCACATTTGCTGACATTAACCAGCTGATCGTGGCCAATAATCGTTTCCAGCACCCTAGAGAACACGTAGTACTCAAATGACGGTCGGACGATACATCAGATTGATTACATTTTAGTACTTGCTTGCTGAGCTACTTCAGTGGAAGACTGTCGTTCCTATCGTGGTGCAGAAACTGACAAAAGGAACGATACGGGCTATACCCTTGCACACGCCCGCTTCAAGATCTACCTGACTGCTCACCGGAAGTCTCGTCTCCCGGGCAAATTCAACGTCACTATCTTGGAACTGCCTGAGAAAAGGCAGACGCTGATGAACGCAACCACTTCCAACATAGCCGCAACTTCTCTCGACGATTCAACTATCACAGTAGTCCACGCTGAAAACGTCCATCAGAGAAGCGGCGCTGGGGCAGTTAGGTAAGGTTCTTCGCCACTAAAGAGACTGGGTCTTTGAGCGTACGTTGCAGTCGTCCGCCAAGGCAAGAGAGGTGCGTCTAATCAATTCTCCTGAATCGCGTATTCGACTTCACCAAGGCACACACTCCGCCAAGAAGAACCGTAGGCAAAAGTAAGAGGCGATTGTAGGTAGCAGGGAGACTGCAACCGTCTCATCGGAATTTACAAACTATTTCGTGTAATCCAAACTTGACACCTAATAAGAATCAGCCGAGTTTACACTGATCTCGGGAGCCAGGCAAGGTCGTATCCTATCGCCGGTGTTATTCAATTTTTTTATTACACATTTGATGAATCACATAAGGCCCCAATAGGTTAGGCGTGGTATTGAGCCGGAGGACAGCAGAGCTGTCTACCACCAAGGTCGGGTGGCGGTGGCGGGGTTCGAACCCCGGACCACAGGGTCAGAAACACGCCGGTAACAGCGACTAAACCACTGCACCATCACCACCCTAATCTCACCGTAGATTAAATAATGGGACAAGCACTCCGGGGTGCAGCTTGGCCCAGGTACATGGATTGCGGAGAATGTTGTCGTACTTGGGGACGCCATGGGCAACCTGCAGCCTTTTGTCAGTCGCATTAAAACTTGCCCAGGCCATTGGGCAAGAGATCAGCATATCGAAAACCAAGATATTTTCGACTAAAACTTCTGCCACGACGGGATCCCTCTCGATTAACGGGAGCTTGTCGAGTCAACCGAAGTTTTCAAGTATCTTGGCTCCGCAGTCATGCTAAGCGGCCAGACTAAGGATGAAATCCAATCGTGTGGATGGAGCTAGAAAAACCCTCTTGTAACTCCTCAGATCGTTGTGGAATCTAGGCGAAATAAGTTTAAACACTAAGCTTCAGGTTTATCAGGCTTCCATCCGCCCTATCCTCGTCTATGGTTATGAAACATGGCCGCTAATAGTAGAAGATACAAAGAAGCTCGATGTCTTTGAGCATTGGTCTTTATGTCTTTATGTGGAGAGATCGGATTTCCAATGATGGGGTTCGCGCTGCTCGAAAATCGACAGGCTTTCGGAAATGCTATGATGTTGGCGCCTTCAGTGGTTTGGCCATGTGCTCCGAAGGCCCGATACTCAACTGGGCTTCCAATCCGTGTATGGTATTCGTATCTGTAACCACAACTGGCTCTCACATTGCGCCAACCTTGCCGCTGATCATCACGCATGGGCCACTATCCCCAGAGATATCCAAGAAGCCGACTTATCCTCGCTCGAAAGTAAAGTAAAAGTAAGTAAGTAAGTGCAAAGTATATGGACTCTATTGATTTTGTGGCTATGTTGCACGTTCCCGGTGAACCTGTTACCTACTGATAGAGGTACTAGTTAGTTGGGCGTTCTTGAATGCACTTTGCCATGTAACTGGATGCCGTGAATGATAAGTAATGCTATACAACATGCTCGGTTTCCTCACTTTTATAAATCATTATTGCTGGCTTCCTTGTTTTTCAGTTCATTTTAACGTGTTACAAGAACCAGGACGAGGAAGCTCGAGTGCCTCGTTATTTGATGAAAAAACAGAACTCGTTTAATTTGGTCTAGCTTGTTTTATTTAATTACTGTCAGTATTGTATTGCTTTTAATCAGCACCTCATCGCAACTTTGTCTTTCATCATAGCCTTATTATTGTTTTAGTGTGCAAATTGAAATGTTTTAGATATTCGATTCTTTTTCCTACAATTCGCCCAAGTTTCTCTCCTTCATCTGCTCGTTTACCGGTATGTTTACGGTTTTTACACTCCTCTTTCAGCTGCTTGGGGGAATGTTCAGTCGCCATCTGTTGATTCTCGCGTCTCATCCACGGCAGGCGCCACAGTCGCTACCAGCATGACCCATCTGTCACCCTCCCCCGGTTCTATAGCCCAGGATACTCACGCTCAAGATCAGTATCCATTTTCCGACCCAGCTCGAACGAGCCCTTTGATGGGACCGCGAACAAGC